GAGGATATGTGAAGACCCACGAAGGCCCAATGTGAAAGAGGACTTGGAAGGGAGCTGGAGGCACAGGTGGAGGGTGATCAGGGACAGCCCTGGTTATGTAGGGAGGCAGGGGCCAGGACCTGGTGGGGCCTTCTTGCTGTGCAACGCTTGTGACTCATTTTATCTCTTTATTTTTTTAATAGAGTTTTTAGTTGTTGACGGACCTTTATTTTATTCATTTATTTGTATGTGGTGCTGAGACTCGAATCCAGTGCCTCACACATGCGAGGCAAGCGCTCTACCACTGAGCCCCAGCCCCAGCCTTCATGTTTATCTTGAAAGTAAAACCCTCTACAGATGCTCCTCCAACTCTGCTGCATGACATCGTTGCAAATTGAAAACACCGTGAATTGAAAACGTGCTGGGGACATGCGACCTACCCAGCATGGCAGTTTAGCCACGACCAACTACAGGGTAGGGATGGTCCCAACTGTCCATTAGGTGGCGCCCCAGAGCCGCGGCCCCGCCCCCGCCCCGCCCCCGCCCCGCCTCTCAGGGGAAGATGGTACCATATGTTGCCTGTCTGGAAAAAGACCCAGATTCCAAACCCCAGGCACAGTTTCTACTGAAGGCATATTGCTCGTATGGCATCACAGAGTCAAAAAGTCCTGAGGGAGCTGAGCCTGGTGGCGCGCACCTGTCATCCCAGAGGCTCTGGAGGCTGAGGCAGGAGGATCATGAGTTCCAAGGCAGCCTCAGTAACAGTGAGGCCCTAAGCAACTCAGGGAGACTCTGTCTCTAAATAAAATGCAAAGTAGGGCTGGGATGGGGCTCAGGGGTCGAGTGCCCCCGAGTTCAATCCCTGGTACACTCCCTCCCCCAAAATAAAAATTCCAAAGGGAACTTGGGGACTTGGAGAACCACCGAGAGAGGTTATTTAAGGGCCTTCCTGGCCTGAATCCTGCTTGAAAAGAGCTTCGTGGACCCTCCTGGGCCCAGCTCTTCCAGGTGCCGGTCAGCGGCTGCCCCTCTGTGAGCCTCAGTTGTCCTGCCTGTCCAGTGGGGCTGCTCTCCCCTCTCCCCTCAGCACAGGGACAGCGCCTCTCTCGCAGGTGGGCTCCGTCACTGCAGCCACTGTCGCCATTCCTTCCTCTCTCGTCCCCGGCCAGGCCGTGAGGATCCAGATGGAGAGAAATGACACGGTGGGACAGAGGCGCTGGGCCCCAGAGCTGTCCTCCTGGGTTTCCTGCAGAGAGGCACTGGTCAGCGCCGTGGCCGCCCTGGGGGC